GTTGCCTTCTTCACATCTTTTAATATCAGAACAACGTTACCGAATATCCGTCGATACCACTGGAAACAGTGCCTTGAACTTGCCACGCCGCGCCAAGTCTGAAAATGATACGTCTGAAGTGATCAAAGATATAGCTACGAATAATTGCGAGGGGGAGGGGGAAGAGGAAATTCTCGCACGCCGTAATGCCCCCTCCCACACCTTCTTGAACGCCTGCCAAGCACGCTACTTCAAATCCAGTTTACCAGGCCAAAAGATATAGAGTTTCAACATTGTCCTTTTTTCTCTTAGATAAACCAGTTCAAAGAGCTCCATCTCCTACTCCTAAGCATCAATACTCAGCTTCATTATCCAAAACCAATGGAGATGGACTTCTTGGAAGTGATCTGGCAAAGAACAACACTAACACAGCCCTGGCTAAAAACTATTCCCAGCCCCCAAGGATAAGACAGGATGACACTCAAGTTGAACCTCAGTTCAGGACACGCTCGGTCGAAAGGTGTCAAGAGGGGTACGACAATCGTGGCATCTCCATGGAAACGGGTGAAGAGGGGGGGAATCTACCAATGAAAAAATTATCACTAGCCAACCGAATGGATAATCCATTCTATTCAGAACCAACCACCAAAGACCCTGACCGTTCCCTGTCATCCATAAATGCACGATACGGTAGATCAAAGAAAGACTCGGTGGATAGCATGGAAGATTTTCCAAATAATAACGCCGACGAATTGCCTGCAGTTACGGGGGATCTGAGACGCAAGGGAAGCATTGTTCTTGTTTCCAAATCCCCAACCGGAGAAACCTGTTTCCAAGTACAAACGCCGTCCAAAATTACAAAGACTGAGAGAATTGAAGAGATCAACATTTGACTTTGTTCAGGAGCCCATAACCCGGAGCGAGCAACGTTCCTGCGCTCGTGTCACGGAGTTTTCACGGAGCAGTTTATTTTTAGAACGTTTTTGGCGCGAATTTTGAATATCTTTTAAATTCCACAAACCAGTCAGCAAAACTTACCGACCTAAAAATGATATTTTTTGCCTTTTAATAACGTTTAGTTTTCCTTTTTGATATTTTATACTTCGAATGCGCTCATAAACTTAGTGGAGATTCTATTTTCGCGGGAAAAAGTGCCTTAAAATGTGTCTAAAAATAAACTGGTCAGTAAAAACGTCGTGACATAGGCCTAGTATGGGAGTTGCTTGCTCCTGCTAATGGGCTCCTGCTTTGTTATATTACTTGTACCCCATTCATGCATGCAGAACCTTTCTGGTTATCATCAATCATCAGCACCACGAAACCAAGCCAAATTGAACATTTAGGTTAGAGCTCTCTGTGTAATTCCATGCTTGGAAAACAGTGAAGAATGTAGAAGTGATGATGACGTTGATATTTCGGCCAAAAAAGAAAAGAAAAGGAGAGAAAATTAACCCTGTTCACCTTCAAAGTATGACAAAAGGAACCAGTGAATAACTTTCAATATCAGCTTTATTTTTCTCACTTATCCTGGAATCATTAAGAAACCGTTACGTTCATTGTTATGATCTCTCCGTATGAATGGCAAGTGTTTGTGTTTGTTAATATCTTTGATTGTTAATGGCAGGTCAACTTGGATAATCATCACTATAACAAATATTTACATCCCCAAATTTCGCCTTGAAATTTTTCACCTTGAGTGAAATGGCTACAGTACTAAAAAGGGCCAAGAACAGCCTTAAAACATTTTCAATTTGTTCAGTCTATAAAGTCATTAGAACCATGTCAATAAAAGAAAACATCTAACAAAAAAATTTAAGGGCTTTGTGAACCTGCCACAAGATCTAACTCTAAAGTTTGTGTAAAGTTTGGTTAAGTTACACATAAGACCATTTCTGATGAAAAGCTGACTGCAAGAGGTCTGGGTAACATGAACTAGTCCCTCTGTAAAGCTATACCCCCACCCCTCACCCCCGGCTCTGGAGGGAGAAAAACGGTGAAAAACGATTTCTAAGTCGATTTTATAAATCCAAAATAACCCCAAATCTAAATATTAGTGCAAGAATGAGTTGATCTATATTAGAGATTTTGAAGCCGTTCACAAAAATTTTCTGTCGTGTGTTGCACCTGCACCTATCCCGTAGTCAATGACCGTTGGGGCGCCACGGACGTTGCAACCCTCTCCCTCCACTTTATTTTGTTTTCAGCTTCTCTTACGGCGTCGTGTGTTTTCAGGTTTAAAAACTTGAGGCGAAACCGAGAGTTTCTTAAACCTGACAATACACTCCCTCTCGTTTTTTAAACAGTACTTAATGTAAACATGGGCTGTACAAACACACCGAACCCTGTCAGTAAACACAGGCTAAATGCTACACTATTTTAAGCACTTTAAGAATTGTTCTCCCTAGATAACTTAAACAACAAAAATTATTCCAGTCACTATAATGTCTGCTAAAAAGCATTATGATTTTCTCTTTTCAATACATAGAACAAAAATCCCTAGCTTCTTAATCATTATACAGGTTTTAACCCAGGATTAGCGCAAATTAAATTTGAATTCCAGTATGAAGGCTTAAAGTCAAATTCAGTTTAATTCTTCTTCTCTGCTTTTTGATTGGATGCTCTACAAAGATTGTAAATTGTAAATTTCTTATTATCTACTCCCCTCAAGGCTTTTCAGGGATAATTTACAACACTGGTTGGGGGACTTTGCTTGAGATTGAGAAAATCATTCGAGAAAATGCTTTTTGAAGAAAAGAAAAAGAAACCCGGGATAAAATTTAACCCCCGGTTAGTGCTCATCGGTGTTCAAACAACTGGACCCAGTACTATATGCAAGATTCCTTCATTTAACAGGGCACTGAAGGCAGCTCAAACGTTTCCATTTGCAGTGTGACAGTGGATTTAAATCAATTTGATCAGAATGAAATTTCTCCTAGTAATATTAGTGGTTTATAGAACAGAGTGCGTGGTCATAACAATTATTAAGCACATGATCACAAAAGATGAATTCAATTGATATTTTAAGTGCTTTTCCCCACTATGTATACAGGCAGAAATGAGAATTTAAATTTTGATATAATGGATTTAAGAGCTAATGTGTTGTCTCTGTGATGTTAGCTTGTATAACAGGTGAAAACTTTGATTTTCTAAGTCAGGAATGTGGTCAAAAATTGTTATGTATCTTTTAAAGTATATGCAATGATTAATGTACATTAGTTGGCTTCAACTTTAGGTTTTTCAAGATGAAATTTATTTTAATGATCATTTCATGAAGGAAAACTGCTGAGATGTTGTACGCATCAAATCAAACATTGTGTCAACTTTGCATCTGCATAAGTCAGCTCTGTCCTAACAAACAACTCTACTATACTATGGACACCTCTTAGTTTGACATGGTCCCCAGAGATTTTTGTGTCATCTCATTGGACTTTCTGAGGTGGACACGTATCTTAGATGGACACCTAGGCAGGGCTGTCAAAAAGATTTCAAGTTGCCCAGATTTGCAATAATAATTAGTAGGCAAGAAATTGAACAACTTTAATATAAAAGGAAGTTTATCTGCTAATTTTATTTTTCTTTAGATTCCTACAAAATTAGCTCATGTTCCCCTACCCCTTGCCACAATTACAGACAGTCCTGCATCCTTATGGCCAGTCCCACAGGTATTCATCTTTGGGAGAAATGACTATATACCGAACAGAAGTGATGCAATGTCCAAACCATGCCTCAACAAACTGTAACCTGTACAGTAAGTGATCAAGCAAATAACGGGAAAAAAAATTCTGATAAGCTGCGTGGCACTTTGTAAAGTAAGTAAAGGGAATGTTCAACAAAAAATAATGAACAAAATTGCCATCTTGTGCTTTGAGTTCCTCTCCAAACATTTCAGGCCTGGCCCTTCATCAGTGGAGTTACAGTATGCAGACTTAGCAAAGACAATGAGGTGGACATGAAGATGGTGTAGCAATTCAAAAATCCACCTTGAAAAATGGCAGAGCAGCAAAATGTGCAACCATTTATGCATGCTTTCCCATCAAATAACATTCTCATTCTGTAGAGTAATTATTACTATATTGTCTCTACCAGAATTAAGTAACTCCTTCATAGTTATGTTTTCACATCTTAATAATCTGGGGATGAAGTCAAAGCTATATTAAATTAGCATAATCACAAATTATCTATTAAAATTTACTCTGAAAAATTAAAATGTACTTCTCTCGAATATATTACTCAAAATATAGCTAATTACTCATTACAAGGCTAGAGGCAAATTCTATTCAGATAAAGCTATCCTATATAAGCAAGATTGAAAAAGCTGGACACCTATGATTTCTATTGCTGCTTTCAGCCAATACAGTACCGGATCCAGACCTTGTTATGAGCTGTAATAATAATCCTTATTACTCCCTGAAATTTCTCTATGATTGTCAGCACTCTTTTCCAGACAGCTGAAAGCTGTACTAAATACAGCAAATTTGATGTAAGGAACCTCTTAATAACAAAGGAGGAAGCATGGCCATGCGGCTAGAGCTCTAGAATTGTAATCTGGAGGCCCCGAATTCATGCCCCACACAAACCGCTAGCAGGGTTTGTTCACGTTTATAAATAAATAGCCAACTGGTTTGTCTTCAGCCAAGTGGGATTTGTCATCCTTGATATTTTTTTTGTAAAATGTTTGTTTGTACATGTATCTGTACTTGTCAGGGCTTCTGACAGGTCCCGAAAGAGAAATTCCAATTTCAAGGAATTTTTAGGGACAAATTCGCGGAAAAATCGGCCGGTTTCGCAGGAATTTCGCTGGAGTTTTCAGGGCATACTTCACCAAAAAGCAATCAGTATAAAATGGCCAATTTTGTGGTTATTTTCAAGGCAAATTTCACTAGAAATCGATTGGATTTGCGGTGATCAGACCAGTGTTTTTAACGTTTTTCTAACAGAAGTCATCATTTGCTCTTTCAACAACAATACGCTCCAGAAATGAACCAATGGCAAAGCCTTCAACATCAAGTTTTTCACAACTTAATCTACACCTGGTAGTTTCGGGACGTTGTTTTACACATTTCAGTGTCAAAGTTCCACGATAAATTTGCAAGTTTATGGCTTGATAGCTCCGATAGCTGAAATAAGTTTCAAATATGTTGTACAGACATGTATTTGATAAGATTTCTACTAAATTTCGCAGTATTTTTGGTGTTTTTGTGAATTTCGAGGGATTTTGTGGATTTACCCGAATTTCGCGGCTCCGCGACCATGCGAAATATCAGAAGCCCTGACTTGTGGCTAAAATAAAAACTACTGTGTAACAAGTAATCATGTTACCCCTATTAAGTCAATTTTTTAAATGACGCCCTTGATATAGCAATAATATTCTTTGCCTAGTAATGGAAAACTATGTTTACAAGAACCATGATGTAACTAAACCACCTGATTGCAAACATATTAAATAATAATTTTGTCAGTCCCTTGGCTCTTAGTTTAATCCAGGTTCCACTATACTTATATAAGCTCAGTCTCTTCTTGAACCTACATGAAAGGGTCACATTTTTTGCAATAAAAGGAGATTGAGTATATATAAAATATTATAGATTCTTGTCTTACGAATACCCAGTGCACATCATAAGTGACCATTTAGTTAAGTAGTACATGGAGCATGTTGTTATTCACGACTGTCAAGAATTGACAAAAATAGTGTACTCTAGTAGTTAAATAAATTAATTAATTAATAACACGACGTTTACCACATTTGTATGTTTAGTCTGCATTGCCGCAGTCTTCAAATAGGTATGGATTTCCTGCACTGTTATTGATTTTCATTAGATTTGTATTATTACCCTAGAAGGACCTTTCTCAGTCTTTCACGTGGTACAGGACTAACGCCCTCGTCTTCACTACTGCTAGAGGAGCAATCTTCCCATTTTTCACCAGCATGAGGTGAACAAAGAAACTGTTCAAGAGGCAATCGATACTTGCCGCAAAAATCCACAAATTTGATGTGCCTCACACGAGCATCAAAATATACACCCTTGCAGCATGGGTTCACGCAGCGTCGAGCACTGTTAAGATACTTCAGTAAATGCACTGGCAGATCTTGTGAAGTATACTTCACTCCACTGTTCTTGATGCATCGGCCACTTAGTTCTAATAATGATGGAGGGTTAAAAGTCATGTCTCTGACAAAACGCACAACAAGAGGATTTTCCCGCAAGCTTAATTCTTCCAGGTTCCGCAGCTTTATGAGTGCAACGGGCAGGATGGTGAGTCTGTTGTTGTGAAGACTCAAGGACTGTAAATGTGTCAGTTTGACAAGTGTCGAGGGTAAAGATTCGATATTGTTGTCACAAAGATTGAGGGCACGCAGTCTGCGCAGGTTGCCAAGCTCGACTGGAACAGATGTCAACTGGTTTCCACCAAGGTAGAGAATTTCTAACCTGGAGATGTATGTAACAATGCATATCAATACTCGGTGCTTGTGGTGTGACAATTCTCTCCCACACCATAAAATTTCATTACTATTAAATTTCACAATAACAGTTCTACTAAAAGCCACTTCTACACAAAAGCCTTGAATAATGTTATTATATTATTATCTTTATCATCCTTCCTGTGTTGATGTCTGTGAAGTTATGATGTATGCTGATGACACAGATATCATTTTCTCAGACCCACCAATATCGGAAATTGAGTTACAGTTGAATTTGGAACTGATTAACCTGTCTGAGTGGCTGTCTACAAATAAACTTATTCTGAATTTAAAGAAAACTGAGTTCATGATTTTTGGCACCCACCAGAGACTATGTCGCCAAGACATTGATGGGGCTCATATAATGTTGGGAGGAGAATCTGTGAAACACTGTGATACCTTTAAGTACCTAGGCGTAGTTTTGGACAACAGTCTTTCCTTTAATTTGCATACTGACTATGTGAAGAAAAAGGTTTCTAAAACACTGGGGATGTTCTCAAGAATTAGATCATCATTAACAACTGAAGTATCGAACCGATTGTATAAATTGATGATACTACCAAATTTGGAATACTGTTGTGCTGTTTTTCCATGGCTGTGGTAAAGGAAATGAAGAAGAATTGGAACGCCTAGAAAGACGTGCTGCTAGGATAGTGTTAAAGACGGTACATTTGTCCACTCAAGATATGGCTTCCGGTCTTGGTTGGGACCCTTTTAAGACGAGAAGAGAGAAACATATCGTCGAACTTGTCAAGAATTGTCTTGATGGACAAGCTCCAAGGTATTTCTCAGATTATTTTCAATGGCGAACTTATGATATTCATGACTATGACATTAGGTCTAAGGATAGGTTATCTATCGATAAAGTCAATTTCGAGTTGACTAAGAGGGCCTTTTTTTATACGGGGGTTACCCTTTTTAATGTTTGTATGTAATTTTGTTTATAAGGTGGCTACCTTTTCTATTGATTATAATTATGTAATGTATCCTAGTTTCGTATATAACTAAGTTTTTATCTATTTATTCATTTATTTTTATACAGGACCCATATTGATAGCAGTTTTTATAACTGAAATGGTCATCCTGTTTAAACATGTTATTATTATTATTATTATCCCCGTCACGGGCTAGATTTTTTCCTGTTTGGGTCGAATATCAAGTCTCTATCTACCCTACAAAACTAACAGTCCATTTTCAGGAAATTTTATTCATCTTCCAACACAGAATATCCTGGCAATATGAAAGGAAAAGTGTCATTCTTGACGATTTATTTAATTTACGCCAATGAGTCTAACTGGATGCCAAAGTTAGCAGTCGACCAAAGTTATTTACATATGTAATCAGACGTGAAAATAATGATAACATCTGACCAGCCCGCGAGCCTTATCAAATTCATTTAACTTCAACTGCACGTATAAAACTATAATCATCTCAGACAAAAAGTAAAAAATGACGTTCGTTCTAAAGTTCTGTAAGCGGTTTTCTGACCGATAATCGCTTTACACTAATTTATAACTGGCCACTCGTAAGCTTATATAAAAGCTTAGTGATGACCACAACAGCAATGTTTTAGTAGTTCATTGAAACAAAACCTACCTTTGAAGATTTTGAATATCCGGCGGAATTACATCGATCCTATTGCCTCCGAAGTACAGTGTTCTCAGGGAAACCAGCTCAAAAAGTTGAGGCATGAATGATTCAAACCTGTTGCCACTTAAATTGAGATTTTCCAAAGCTAAAAGTTGAGCAAATTCTTTAGGCAACTCATCCAAATTGTTATTCCGTGCCATAAAGGTCTTGAGCTGGCGAAGTTCTCCAACTCGAGGCGTGATGTAGGCCAGGCCATTTCCCGATATATCGATTTCTTTGAGATTAACAAAGTTCCCTATAGAATCAGGAAGAACAGAAATAATGTTTCCAGCCAGGTTTAAACGCGTGATTTTCAAGACATCGGGCACGTTGTTCAAGACATGAATATCATTTGGAAGAGAATCGAGAAAGCGATGCCCTAAGTTGAGATCAAGTTCTTCTGAATCATCACGTGCAGC